CTATAGTGGCTAAAAGGCTTCCCTGTTTCTCGAATATAAGAAGCGCGTAAGTGCAGGAATACGTACCGTATATAATCAGACATCATTGATTATTTATCATCTAAGATCTAAAATCGGTGTTTATGTAGGTACGAACCAATGTAATACTTTTTTCTTTTCTTAATTTGTTTATTTATATTTTACTAATATTTTTGTCGGATATACTTGTGGTAATAAGGTTACGGTAAGAAAAGGCAACTCACTGTTATCGTGTCGGTGTATTTTCTGTTTGATAGTTTACCTTTTTTAATTTGCGAACCGAAACTAATTGAACAGAGAGTCGAACGTCGGTACGGGTTCCTGCATTTATACCTTTCTCTTAGGTTAGATTATGGCTAAAATGGATTCCGTAATTAGCTTTTGACCTATGTAAAGTAGGAGTTAGGTTAGTAGGTTATGGTGGGAAAGGTACCCCTAAGTGGCATGTGTGAAGTGGAATGCACTTAGCGCTTAGGTTAAGTTATAGTGGGAATGGTTTCTCTAAATGCCATGCAACACCAGCAAAGGTTGTCGCAGTTCAAATTTAAGCGGGTTCAGCTAGTCATGTTATTTAAAAGATCGTCATTTGGCCATTATATATATTTAGCGCAAATTCAGTGTTAGAGAAAGAATGCTTAGGTCAGTCTTACGTATATACACATACGTACCTATACAGGTACTTTTGAATGGCATGAACTTTGGTCTTGGGATGCCCAGTGACAAAACTACTCCGTCGTTTATTGCTACCAATTTCTGTAGGAACGATTAAAAACAGCAGCAGATACTAACGTTGCAAAATTTATTTAATTATAAAAATGTCTAGTCTGATATCAGTAGCCGTTTATTAAAAAACCGGCCAAATGCGAGTCCAACTCGCGCACGAAGGATTCTGTACCATTATCTATAAAAACTGCAAAAAAAATGTTGTTGTATGAGAGCCCCACTTAAATATTTAATTTTGTTATAGCGGCAACAGAAATACATCATCTGTAAAAATTACAACTGTCTAAGTATTACAGTTCATGACATACAGCCTAGTGACAGACGAACGGACAGCGGAGACTAATGAATGGGGTCCCGTTTTACCCTTTTGGGCGCGGAACCCTAAAAACGAATATTTTGCTATAAGTAGTAATTTACAATAAAAAGTTCTATTCTGTCGCAACTTATTAGCCTTAATTAACACAAACTTATAAGGCTCAACAACATCATCTAATCTTACGTGGAGGAGAAGGGATGTCTCGGTAAATATCCCGTAAATTTTTTTCCTCAAGAAACAGTGTAAAATATTGCGATAAACTGGATTAAATTTAGTAAAGCATGTTATTCTCTCCAAATACATTCGTCGTCATTGTTATAGTACAGCGAAGTAGTTAACATCCATATAAATGTTTTCGTAATGCACAATATGAATTCAGTAAGGTCTGTTTCTCGCATATCTGAAGATTCATGTCATTGTAATCCACCTAACACGTAATGCTAAAATAATAAATCATTTACCGAGTATAGAATCATATTATATATATAATAAAAAACTATGAGTGCTGTCAGCACTATTACGTAAATGAAAGTTAGTATCTGCAATTTTTTATGCTGAAGTGTACGATGTGTTGCATACCTTTAATTTTTCAAACAATTTTTGACACAAAGAATGTAATTAAACAAATTATTCACAAAAGTGAATTTATACCACTCGAAGCAGTGGTGCAACAGTTTCGAACTCATAGTGACTGATAGGGGGGAACAACTAGTATAGAATAACAGTTATTCACAAAAATCACCAAAGTAATTTAATTTGCCAGTTGTGACTGTACATATTTGGATAAATTTTGCTTTTTAAAGATTTTATTGTAATTAAGTGCGAGAATATGTAATATTGTTTATCTTCAGTATGTAAAATCCAAAATTATGTTTTGTCTCATCGTAAATAAAACAACTTCTACAAATAAAGCCACATTCTACTTAAATTAAGCTGAAAGTATGACGTAGACGGCATATGTAACTGGCTCCCACTTCCTTACCGTAAAAGGCTCGAGGTGGTGCTGCTGTAGGTTGAACGGCGGCAAATTCCAATTGTCCTAAAGCCTACGCATCCTCTTCACTTTTCTTTTACCGTTGCAACACTAATCTTTTGCAATGCAACGTAGAATAATGCATAACAACGTTTGTTGCAAAAAAATGTATGAACTTTTTTACCCCCCAGCGGAGGTATCATTTCAAAATGTTTGCTTGTATGATATTTATCTGTAGTGTTGAATTACGTTTTCTGGTAATTTTAAAATGAAGAAAAACGGTGTTATGAGGAGTTTACCTCCGTATGATTGCTCTGAAACCGATATTTTAAAAATGGTATTTTATAAATATTGGCTCTTATTTTAATAATATAAAATAAAATAGACATTGTAGACAATACAAACCGGCCTGTACCTGCATTTTAAGTATGTAATACCTTAGAAAATATTCATTTAAATTATATGCTGTAAAGGGCCATATTGATCTATATTATTCACAATGTATTTAAAGGTACTTAATTGGATAAAGATTAATGCTGTATTGCTTCGTAAATAAGCCAGAGATAGACATACACTATCGCGGACTTTTTTGTAGGCCTTTTTAAGGTGTGCAATACTGTAGTATATTATTTTGATCTATCTCGTAGGGTTCAGCCAGCGTTTGCAATGTAAGCGCAAAAAAATGTGTTTATTTACACATCATATTACAAACCTCTAAAATTATCAGTGTTTCTCTTCTATGTTATGCATATATTATCCTCTTGAATTACTCTATCTATTAAAAAAATCGCATTAAAATCCGTTGCCTAGTTTTAAAGATCTAAGCATACATAGGGACAGACAGCGGGGGAAATGCGTTGCATTATTTCGTTACATAGCAAGTCGCATGAAACGAACCTACCCTTCCGTGCGTAAAGAAGTTTCACTTCAAAAAATCCCTTGTCATAGGTAGACGTAAAAAGAATACGCAGTAAGTATTTAAAAACACAGTTGGAGTGATATTAGGTTCATCAAAACTCGAAATCCAAAGGTTTTGTCTGGAATATGGAAATTTTCTTTTTCCTTATACTGAATAAATGAGTAACAGGTCCCTGTTTTAAGAACAATTTTTGTTTTTCAATTGATGAATACATATTATTTATGGCATAATACTAGGAAAGCGAAGGCATTCATAACTGTTTTGACCACTGCAGCTTCCGAGGATCTGGGAGACATGCCTAGGTTTATTTTGTTTTCATGGAAAAAAAGAACTTTTTCAAAGATACCAAGTAGCTCATACCATTGCGCTTTTTAGAAAGCTTTTTTTATTAAATAAAAAGTAGATGAAACTTTTAGTTCATGGAGATCCATTATATCCAATTGATTGTAAATTATTTGTGGATTCCATAATGATTATTATTCCTCGTAAAAGCTTATTCAGGTGGAAGAAGTTAAACAATTAAATGCACCAATAGAAGTGCGAGTGGAAGTTGCAAAGCCGACTTCGATAATTCTCAACTTCTTAACATTTTCTATCTGATTATACAAGTGTAAATTTTAACCGCCCCTTACTCTCTTTTAAATTAGTAAGGGCTCTATTTGCGTTTAATTGATAAATTTCTTCCAACTGAAAAGCTACAGTGTGGTGAAATAATTATAGTAGTCAACAAATAATTTGTAACCTAAAAATTTTTCCATATTATAAAGTATTTACTTTATCTCCGAATTATTTCTACTTCCGTATATATTTGTGTTAAACGATTTCCGTTAGAATCCTAATGCCTTCCATTTCGACCTTCAATATAACACTAAAAGAAGGAGTTATACTGCAGCTACGTCCAATTGATGTCGCCAAAAATCTGTGCGGAAATTTATTGCTAAACTTTACGCTTCAAATTTTGATCCTACAAGAAAAATCAACCGTCAGCTCTCTTTCTTAATCTTTTAATGCTTTAAACATTTACTTGATTGTGGCATATACTTCGCCACACAACCAAAGATGGACTGTAAATAATAACGGCGAATGTGGATTTCCCCCATAATTATAAAAAATCACTTACTTAAAATCGTGATTCAAATTAGCTAAATCTTATTTTGATCTGTAATGTGTACAGATGTATGTATTTGTAATGATTATAAAATGGATAGTTACTTATTTTATTTATTAAATACCTACACGACAAAGGACAAATTTTTGATAAGCTATGAAAAGTGACCCCTATAGGAAACTTAAAAAATTTTGTTGTTTGAATAGCATGAGCCTTATACGTAATAAATGTACTATTCCTTTTTTAGAAATATCTTTCATTGATTTTTAAATACCACTCAAATAAGTATGTAACAATATTTTGAATCAAACTTACATTTGTAGGTTTAGTATGCAAAAAATGTCTTAAATGCTTATGTTTAAAAACAACATGTAGTAAAAAAGGGGACGATTTTCCAAAAAAAGTAATTTTGACTAGTTTGTCAATTGTTCTTGTTAAGAAAAATTAGTAGTTTTTGCTTTTAAGTTATTGTAGTATTAAGTTAGTGTCCTGTATTTTCCGAAAAATATAAAAAGAGATCTAGTTAAATTTTTTGTCATATTGGGGTCAATTTTCTTAGCTTATCTATACCCGTCCTTTTACCTAAAATGTTCATTAGTATTTGGTTGAACATCTATTATACCTATGCATAACCAGGTGATTCTGTTATTTAGTCTTTTCAAAATTTTGATGGTTATGTTTTTTGATAGTTCATTGGATGTTGACAGAATCAAAAACACTAATAGTAAATAAATCAATATTGTGTAATAAGAATATAACTATTATGGAATAAAATAATAATATTAACAAAACTGAATGAAACAGCATTATTAACATATAGAAATGGAATATGAACATGATTGACACGTTTTCTTTTTGGTAATAAAGAGTGTAGTAGGTTATGGGTTGGCCAGTATTTGTCACCTATCTGTAGTAACGTGGGTCGGTATGTACTGCTGTAAAACACCACCATAGGTGGACCTCCTCGCCGATTACACCGTCGTTGATTTGGTCGGTTCTCGTAATTACCATTGCAGGCCTTCAGTGATCTTTTCTGTCGCCAGTTGTTCGTTGCTTTTCGATTGAAATGTGTTCTCGTGACTCCGCGCTTGTCGTCGATTATTAGGCATCCGTGTTCATTGTCAGTGGTAGTGTTTAAATAAAACCAATTGTATACACTGTAGGCGCATATTTAACTTCAATTTGAAACAATTAAGTAAGGACAAAAAATAAATCATCACTCATTGTATTATAACTTATTAATAAAAACCGGTATTATCTGCATATTATTCTGTATTTTTTACAATTTAAATTAGAGAAATTATGTACTATCCATGTACATTTACTAAGCTGTTAGTGTTTGAATTTTTATTATTTTCGATTTTATCCTTTTGTCTTAAAATAATTTAATGTTTTTAATAATGAGTTCAAATGTAAATTAGATTTTATTGCCAATCAGAAGGACGCCAACTATAAAAATAAAGTAAATGTATGACTTTGTATGCTCACATGGTAGTACATGTTGACCTGTTTATGTCGAAATGCATTTTAGTAAAGTAGTTTATTGCTAATGATCATGCCATGACATAAAATTTAAGAAAATTCTAGGAATGTTAAACTCATCGGTAAACGTCAAGTTCTTTACAAGTTGTTTCTGATTGTTGGATTAGGATCTTAGTCAAGTGCTTCTGAGATGCAGTCACTGTCTGTGACAAATTGTTGAGCCGTCAAGGCTATATTGCGGAAAAGTTTTACCTTATTTATTAACACCGTCAACCGTTTCCTTCACCGCTAATCCTTTTTTTTTTAATTTTGAAGTAAATAAACGTTTTCGACTACCTACTTATATTGATTTCATAAAGTTTATATCATTCATCTAAATAGAACAAAACAAAAAAGTTATTTAATACTTATTAGTACTTATTATTACAGTTATTTAATAGTATGTAGGTACATGCTTCATTCCTAGTTCCAAAAAAATATGAGCGTCAATCAGAGTCATACAATTATTTTTGTTATGAAGTGATCTAAGGTCTAATAGTATGTCTATTTTAAGTAATTTATCTAGTCAGAATATCTTTTAAACGGTAGTTACGTTACAGCTACTTTTTAAAGAAGCAAATATACCTTAGCTCAGTTATTTAGAACGAGTTCTCGGATTGTTGAGGTCATCCTCTTTTTCGTTGTAGTTATTAAATCATTAAACGAACATTCAGAAACAATTTGTATTTTTATGGAAGCACTTTAACAGCTAATCATTACATTAATTCATTCGCATTACGTTAGATCATAAAATGGGAAAAGTAAATCATAAACAATGCATACCTACATATTGTATTATAGAAACTGCTATATTAGAGTGTACTTGTATTTCACTAGTATATTTTAAAGCTAATTAAAATATGAAGTCGTAAATACAACTTTACATTTCATTTACAATTTTATATGTACAGGGTGGGCAGATTTCGACGTTTGTGTAGGACTCGATAACTATAAGAGATACAAAAAAAACGATTTGTACGTATAAGAATAACAGCAATCAATTTGAATATTTTCTTTAATTGACGTTATATTGATTATTAGATACTAGTTATTTGTTCTCCCACGATTGCTCTTTCATTTATTTTCGCAAAAATAGAGTTACGAAGTTGTCTTCTTTCTAGATAACTATTGAAATGTTTCTAGTACCACATCAAAATTGTTATTGCTTTGAGTAAAGCATTCCAAGACGTCATACTTTTAGTAATTTTTCGTAAGGCATTTTACAGAATTTTTATTAAAAAAACTTGATATCACGTACTTTAAAATCACTATCATATATATGTAGATGAGAGACACCTATACTAGAAATCAAAGTAAAAAATGCAAACTTACCCATTAAATGCGACCCCATATTACATATGAATTATAAAAGACAAAACAATTACCTTTTTAACTAAAGCACAGCCAACTATGGTTCCTATTTAAAAAAAAATACAACTCGAAAGGGGATGATTTTTTTAGTTTTCCGGCACCATCCTATTCTAGGTAAAAAAAGTGCCTGAAGAACATAAATGTTTTTTTGTAGTGTTACAAACAACCAAGATGTAGATATGTAACCAAAACTGGTAATTTTTGTAGAACTCGAAAACAAAAGACGATAAAATTTTTGGATACACCAATAAATTGGTCTCAAAAAAGAGATCGAGAACCCATCATTAACTTTTTTTGTAGTTCAGAGAAACTACTCCTCATATTATTATCGAAACTACCTTAGCATTTGGTTGATGCAGTAAAATATCGTCCTTGAGTGTGATATTAATAATAGCAAGTGTAGTTTTACCCAATGGAACTCACTGTGTAAATTCTTTGTAAAATGCACACCAAAAATTTTGATGGTTATGTAAAATCATTACAAACGCCAATTTATTTCATTACCATACATATTAAGTACTAATATGCGAAGTTTCTTTTGGGATAAACGAATGCTTTTAAACTAAAAGCACTCTTATAAGTTAGTGATTTTACACGGTAATATGCCGAGAAGGATTCGAAATTTCTTGTCTAATAATATAATCACGTAGCACTTGATTGGTCATCAATTTATTAAACGCGTCCTACACATAAATACCTATCGCTTGCTAGCTTTATCTCAATTGCTTTCTTATTTATCAGAAATTGCTTATTCAACTGCTTTAGGTATAATGGCGTTTTCCATTTGCCTTTTATGTCGTAACTCGAAATGGGATGATTTTTTGTTAATTTTTCCTGCGCGGCGTCACTGATTGTATGTAAAAAAAGGCCTGAAGAACGTAAAAGTGTTTTTTTTTCCTAATATTAACAGCTAAGATATAACATGCAGTCAAAACTCGAAATTTTCAACTTTTATTTATAATTGGAAAACAAAAGACGATAGCAAGTTTTTGAAAACACCAATTTTTGTCTTAAAAAAGATTGAGAAGCCGCCATTAATTTTTTTGTATCTCTTATAGTTACCGAGTTGTCGTATACAAATGTCAAAGTTTGCCCACTCTGTACATGTTAGATCGCAAATGTTCAATTGCCTGCTCCATGTACCGTTGCCTAATTCATGAAATAAGCAATCAACTTTTTTAGATTTTCAAGATTTTATGTACTAAGCAAAATCATGTCTTATTACATAAATATAGTTTTGCCGAATACATGAAACAAGCAATCATAAAATGAAAGAATCGGGGTTTAAATTAGTCGCTTGTAAAGACTCACGATCAGTAGGCTCTTGTTGAGGTTACAATAGATGCAGCTGTGCTAAAATTCGCACATCAGTGAGCTTTTTTAAGCCCCACATATTTGTAAACAAAGGAAAGAGCATGACCGGGACGCATTTAAACATTATAATGTATGTTTCAACACCTACTAATATGTGATTGATCAGTGTACATAAATCACACCAATCAATACCAAAAGAGGTGTCCAAATCATTGCTAGAATGTTGAACTAACCAGAGTTGAAATGCGGGTCGCAATGTTACAGCTTGAGTAATTAAGTATGTGTGCAGTGGATAAAACTGAACAAGGATATATCTTCATATACATATCTGTATAATAAAACAGTCGATTGTCTATAGGTACAGTCATTCTCTAAATTGAAACTGGCCAATCAATTGGTCTAGCCTATCGCAACTTAACTGGAGAGAATGCTTTTATTTAATTGTCTAGGTTAGAGATGGCGAACCTTTACGTACTCACGTGCCATGAAATAATTTTGTCTCTATAATTATTGGAAAAATAATAATAATAAATAATATCAACTTAAAATTCTTTATTTACTACAGAAAAATAGGAACATTTTGCAATGTTTAAATTATACCTGTAATTTAAATTAAAGACAAATAGCTTATGTTAGGGTTGTAAGATGTTAATTTTAGCAGAATGCATGCTGAACTGGAGTCGTCCGTCAAACGGTTTCTAACAGAGTTTTTAATGTTATTCATCTCTGAAAATAATGACTCGCAGGCATAGAGGTTGATGAAAACATTGTTAAAATAGCATAAACCAGCTTCTTCAAATAATTAAATGTGTTTAGTAACGCACTCCATGTTTCCAAAATTTTGTTATTAGCATTTTCACTTGTATTACCTGTCAATCTTTCTGTTTCAATTATTTTTAAATCTTTCATTGTTTCAACAAATTTTTGAATCTATATTGAACTAGACTGGAAATCAATCAGCTGCATTTCAAATTCTTCAATTTCCAACCAATCGAATTTGGACAAATTCAGTTTATCAAATGACGCCAGATCAAGATACGTAGTAAAATTGAGTACTTCTGATAATTCTCTGAACTGAGAAAATTTCGCTGAAAATTCCTTGATTAAAGGATCAATCACAGAAATGTTGGTGACGTGCCCAAAATATTGTATCACGTGCCATTGGTTCGCCATCCCTGGTCTATGATCATAAAGGTAGAAAATGACAACACTTCCGAAGTGTGTCAGTGAGTGTTCATGGTCCTTTTACAGGAATATGAACGTTAAAAATATCTCATTATCCGGAAACAGTGTGAAGAAATTATTATTGTATAACTGTGTTTATTAACTATTTCACGAAATAAGCAAATTTAAGTGAAATAATCGCGTATTTCAAGAAATCGGCAAGTTCTTTGCTTATTTCATGTATTAGACAAAATTTTGCCGAGTACACGCAATAGGCATTTACACGTACTCCTCGTAACATGCGTATGTGTATGTCGTTAATAATCATTTATCACCATTTTTTAATTTTATATTATATAAAAGGTAGGAATAGAAAGTGAATAATTGACAATAAATTCTAAGATACTTTACCCTAAATTACTACAAATAATTTTTGAGAAATAGACGCATGTATTTCGTCCTCCATGAGTGTCGTCCAACGTGAGACAGTCTCTCACATATTCAAAGAAGGCAAAAGACATCCTATTTTCAAAAATTACTTGTGGTAATTAAGGATATTTGGGAGGTATGTCAAAATGCTACGAGACAAATAAAAATATGGAAGAACGTTCCTCATTCAATTCTAAAACTCCTGTAAAAATTACAAATCGATTCACTAAACCGTTAAAAAGTTATTGAAATTTTAAAAAATTGTAATTTTACACGTCATTTTATGGAGATTCGTTAACCGAACAGATTAAATTTATTTTTATTAACAGAAAAAAAGCTACCAGAAATTTCAAACTTTTATAATAAGTAACTTGAACTCTGGAGAATCACTTTAGCGTAAGGTTATTCAAATTCACTAAATGGTTATCGAGGAAAAAATGAAAAATTAGCTGAAAATCTCGTTTTTACTTGATAATATAATGATAATATTTATAATTGTCTGAAATAAATGCAATTTTAAAGTTTTAATTATTATTTAAACATATTAAAAAGTTTTACGCTCATTATTAATAGAGATTGAAACTAAATATTTTTTTGTTTCGAAGTTGAAATCAAGGCATATTCACTGCCAAAAGTCAGTTAAAAATTTTCCATATTATTCGTTATTTCTTATTTTATTCAAAGTTTTTGGTCAAATTCCAAATTTTCTCTCAAACCGTATACTTTTTTTTAGTATAGATAGTATTTATTTACCTCATGATATGCTCCAAAACCTAATTAATCACGAATTTCTAATTTTATTTATTCTTGTCTCCGATTGTACCTCCCAAACATCCTTAAGAGTGAGTATTTGGTTTATTTACTTAGGACGGTGTCCTTTATTATTCATTATAACTAAATAAACATAGGTACTTATTACTTATGCAAAAGTTTATTGTAACATTAAAGTGACAACATTTTCTTAATACCAGACAACGTAACATATTGTACTGTTCTGCACAGTTTAATTAATTTAATTTTTCGATTATTTCAGCGTTCAAATCGCAGTGCCTGCAGTTTATTCTATTAAAAACGACTCGAAACGATACGAAAAACGACCACAATACATTCCTAGTATCACAAAAAGAATTATGTTGAGTGGTAAAATTTATTCCATTTAATCGTTCCATTAATAAATTCACGTGTGTAAAAAATCGGATAATAAAAAGTGCTAATAGTTGTGAAAGACTAAAAACCATGTCTACTCAAAAATACTACAAAGATAGACTTGGTTTCGATCCTCAAGAAGCTATGTTTGATGGAGCTCCACACGAAAAATACAGAAAAACTGGAGAAAATAAGAAGGAACCGCATGGATACGAGGAGAATTTGACGAAATTTAAAGGTACAACTATATGGGAATATTTTATTGAATCTACAGGTACGGTGGTGGGTTCGCATAAGGCATGGTGTTCATTTTTTTGGTGTTTAACAGCGGATTGGTTGTACGTATAATTTACCTAAAAGCTTAATATGTTTTACATACGGTGAAATGCTTCAATAACAAGTTTAAACATAAAATCGCTTTAGCACATGCATTCAAACGAAAAGCAGCTGAAAGTTTTTGATATTGCCTAACGATTATATTTTAATAAAATTTGCTTCTCAGCTTAAAGTATGGTTATTTTGTTGCAATCATTTATGTCTATATATATAAATTGATCGGAAATTTTAATAAATCAGTAGACAGCGCTGCGATCGCTGTGAATTCAAGGTCACCAAGTTGATTTGAAAAATTATTCAGTCTGTTTCTTCAGTAACTTTAATAATGCTCATTTTACTGTTCTGAACTAGTTGATTTCTATCACAACAAACACTTCGAGTAAAATTTGATCATGCCAAAGATGATCAAAATTGCTTGTGATGATGTAAATCAAACCAAAATAAACGGAAAATTTCATCATTATAGATGACCAGCAGGCATACTAAAAAAAGAGTGGTTCGAATTCGAATAGAAAAAAGGAATAATACGTAGAATATAGAACAACAAAATATTTTTTGCGGAAATGTATCTATATATAATTAATTTAAATAAAACATTACATCACCATCATTATCATAAGGTCGTCAGTCCTAAGACTGGTTAGACATGCCCTTCACTCTTTCCTATCCTGAGCTAATCTTCGCATTTCCCTAAAAATAGAACAACCCATATCGTTAACTATTTGCGAACAGTAATCTAATCTAGGTCTACCTGTACCCCCCCTATCTTCCGTTTCTGCCTCTAATATGTCTTCGACTAGACCTTCATCCCTAAGAAGTTGTCCTACTAATCTATCTCGCCTATTTCTTATTGACTTCCATAGAGTCTTCTGTTCTCCTATTGTTTCTACTACTTCTTCATTTCTAACCTTCTTTATCCACGGTATCGTCATCATTCCCTGTAACACCACATTTCGAACGCTTCCAACCTTTTCTTTTCCACCGCACCCACTGTCCATGTTTCGCACCCGAACAGCGCCGTACTCCTAACATACACCTTTAACAACCTTTTTCGAATTTCGAAATTGAAGACGATTTGACCTTGCGCGCTATCCTCTGCTTTATATCCCTACTACTCCTTCCGTCCTGACTTCCTAAATACCTAAAATCGGCCACTTCTTCTAATTTATCGTCTCCTGTCTTTATATTCGCTCTTTCCCTACTTTTTCTTCCCTTGCATACCAGTATTTTTGGTTTACTTTTATTTATTTTCATACAGTACTGTTTTGTCAATACCGCTTCCATTTATTTATTTTATCTTTTAATTTATTTTATTTATTTAAAGCTGTCTCTATATCCTCCTTGCTAGATGCTAATACTGCTATATCATATACAAATCTAAGCATACTAATCTTTTGCCTCTGTTTATCTATCCCTACAGTTGTACTGTCTTTAATGATGTTAATCGCATCTTCGATTTATAGATTAAAAAGTAGCGGTGACACGTTACCTGTTTCTTATTTTGTATCGTCATATTTTATTGCTAAACAATAATTATAGATTTCTACCTTTCAACTATAGGATTGCAAAATGAGGTATAATCTTGTATTAATGCAGAATTGCGTTTCATAATAGGGATAGGAAATTTGTATTCGAAATTCTTGTTTGCTACTGAAATATTTTGCACGTTATGTAAACAGAAGGTTTGCTCCTATGTAAATTTAGAAGAAAGTTAAATATTCGATACCTATGCTAATTGATTCGAACATCTTTTCACTTTCGTATTTCGCGTACAATCATAATGGAAGCATTCTGTTTGTGTACACAAGTAATATAAAGAAAGCGACATACGACATCCGTCATTTTGTAGTAGTAGTAAGTGTCTGTTTTTCCTTATACACATACTGATGTTATTATAATACCATTTATAATCATTATAACTACTCTTTGCACATGTTATACGTATGGTCGAACTGTTGTAGAAAGGAAAGTTAAGGTCATAGCTGTTTAGAATCTATTTTTAGATTAGTCTTCAGCAAAGATCAAGAGAATCATAAAATTTACACCGGAAATGATGTCTCCATCTAAAATATACAAATTGTGTAGTATACATGTACATATTACATTTGTTTTATAATACGATATAAGTAATATAGGCGTATAAATATTTGTATGTATGTTACCGGAAATCTAGGAAATGTATAGTATAAAATTCCTAGGCTATTTAAGAAATTTATAAAATATTGCTTCAAAAATTTTTAATACACGCATGTCCTGGGAAGTGTACATATTTTCTAGGAATTGCATGAAATTCCGATATTGTACTAGGAAATGTGTAAAATTAATGCTTTCTGTGAATAAAATGATTAAAACACTAGTAAACTGAGAATCAAGAATAATCTGTCTTTACGCGTCTAGTGCGATCGCCTGATACATATGCATTGGGACGTTATTGCTTGATTAGGTTAGGTTAGGTTTTAGATTTATGATAAACTGGAGTTCCCTTAATGCGCCTGCGCGCCGGGTCGGGCTGAAATGTTGAAATAATGTCGTAGAAAAGTGTGCTTCATAATGATCTCCGCGCTCAACATACTACAAATTCAAGGTCATCGTGTTTGCTGAAACAACTCGTCTAGGGTTGCTAGGTCGCCAAACCTAATAGCCGGACAGACTAGCCAGTTTGGCCGGACATTTGGGTAAAAAGGCCAGACACCCTACATTATTGAGGATTCTGTGTCTCAGTATTAATAGGTACTACAAAAAAATTGTATGTAAAATCAAGCTTTTTTGATTATTACGATAAATCCTGTTAAATACTAATGTCATACAAATAAAATCGAATGGCAAATCAGTCTAAGTACTTTATCATTAATCAGTCAAATAAAGTCATCAGTCAAAATTAAATTCTATATAAACATTTAAATGTAGGGATGAGTTACAAAGATTGTTGCGGCTTCAATTAATATTTGTACATATATATTCAATTTTGTTAGTGTTTATAATTTTTGTAAATATTCAATTTTGTTCGTATTTTTAGTTAGTCAACACTTTGTATTTTATTCTAGTTGTAGTCAATTTTAATGTATTTATTTCTGTAGGTATAGATAAATATTAGTTTCTTAGAATAGGTAATGCAGCAATTTTAACGAAGAGATCGGTCCAGGTAGGTCTCACAAAACCATTCATTAATGGAAAACCCAAGTCCGTCGCTACGTCATCACTTCGGAATGTGCAGATAATACCTTAGGGGTACGTAGCGACGGCGAAGGGGTAATGTGCACGATAGGCGTTGCCTATTTTGTGCCAACGTTATTTAAACAACGACAATTCAAATTTTTAGTATTCGAAAATCAACATTCAAGCTTTAACATTCAA